GGGGGAGGGTCAGAGGGAGAAGCAGGCTCCTCACTGAGCAGGGAGCCCGATGTGGGACTCGATCCCGGGACTCCGGGATCATGACCCGAGCCGAAGGCAGTCGCTTAACCAACTGAGCCACCCAGGCGCCCTGTCTCCCCATACTTTTGCCAACATTGCACATTGCCATTCTTTTTTATCTACGTCAAGGTGATAGGTGAAAATAGTTGTGTTATAATTTTTTATTATTCTTACTACATCTACTAATAGGCTCCAGATTTTTGTAGGACTTAATTTTATAGAAAAAAGACATCTGTGTTAAATGAGATAATTTCATATATCCTTCAGTTATATGGGTTAAATCAGCTTACTGGGTACCATTATCACTGTCATTTATAAAGACTTCTCAGTACAGAGAAGGAGAGGTGACACGGAAGGTAAGAATTAAAATAATGAATTTAATAGAGACCAGACTAGAAAAAATTTAGCACTAAAAATGAAAGGATACATGGAATAGAGGTAATTTCTAAAGAATTCCAAAAATATTATACAGTAACAGTTTTATCAGAACAAGTGTATCACCTCCTAAGATAACATTTTGAAAAATAAAATTTGATGTTAATAGATTAGATAATAATATGTGGGACTTTGTCAAGCTATCCTGTATGAAAACACGTTAGGCACTGCCGTAGAGAGTAGTGTATTGGAAAATAAGAAATGAAGAAATTATCTAGAATGGACACAAGAAAGATGCAGAGATTGAAAATATGAAGGAGGTTTAGTGACCTGGAGCATAGAGAGAAAAGGCATACTATGTATTTGGTCAGCTCCTGAAGAAAATGAGATAAATAATGGGGGGCAAATTTTTTTTTTTTTTAAGAGATAATAGCTGAGAACTTGAAGAACTGAAGAAAATCAGCACCATGATTTAAGATGCCCAGCAGACCCCAAGCAGGAATCCTTTCTAGACATACAGTGACTCCAGAACAACAAATATTAAAATCTTAAAAACTAGAGAAAAAGACCTTCAAAGGGGTAATTATGAGAGTGATAGCCAATTAGTCATCAATAATAGTGCAAATCAGAAGAAAGTGATTGTTTTCAGTATGCTGGGAAGAAAACTGCCAGTCTAGATGTCTATACTCATCAAAGATGGGTTCTTCATTTTTGTCAGGATTGAAGATTAAATAAATAAATACACAAGCAAAGCCCAGTGAGTTTGCCACCAGATCTTCAATAATGGGATTCTACATTCAGAGAGAGGAGTTTTCAACTGGAAGGTCTGAGATGGTAGAAAGAATGAAGAACAAAGAAAGTGGGAAATATGTATGTGAAACTAAATCTAATTTCAGTTTTGTCTTTTGCAATTAACAAAGATGGAACTAAAATTGAAAAAAATAATTATGAAGGGATATTCTAAATTTGTTTTCTTTAGGGAGTATTTGACATATTAACTGTCGGTTTTAATGTTTGCGTATTAAAATTTGCAAGATTAAAAGATAAAGAATATATTATCTCCAGCCTACTAGAGGAAAAAATAATGGAACGAGAAAAAAATATTCCAAGAGAATACAAGAAAGGGAAAGAAAAAAAGTAGAAAAGGTATAATAAAAAAAGCACAAAGAATGGCTGAAAATAAGTCCAAATATTATTAATTATAATAACTATAATAGTACTAAATGTTCAATAGGATAAACAAAAATATATCAAACACATTCTAAACAGAAGCTGGTGAGCTATATTAAAATACAAACTAGGCTTTACGGCAAAAAATTTTACTAGAGATGGGTCACTTCATGCTGATAAAAGTTCAATTCACGTGGAAGATAAGATAGTTTTGAACTTGAATGAGTTTTAGATTTAAATATATGTATCAAAAACTGATAACTTCAAGGAGAAAATGGACAAATGTATCATAGAGGAAGATTTTAACGTTCATCATAGTATACCTCAGGCAGACATTGATAAATATAACATCAGTTAAAATCTTGCCCTGAAGGGCAGTATACTGCATTCAGGCCTGATACTCAGCTAGTACACATTCGTTCAGCTGTAGCAGTTGTTAATATATTGATACATGTCCATAGTGGGTGAATAGTTACTGCCCCAAGCACATTGAGTGTCTTCCATGGAACCTCCCAGAGTAACCCATTATATGACAACTATAGAGTTAAGAGCTGGCACTGCAAGCTGCCAACAAACATCTTTCTTGAGAGCTACAGCATCAGTGCTAATTGTTCCTTATCCATGCTAGATACCCTCCCCACCACAAAAAAAATGTATAGGCAAATGCCCAGTGACCATTTGGCTTCCCTTAGTGTGGGGCTGCCTGCCTTTCACAGGCACTCTCCTGGTCATTCTCACATAGTCATTTGTGAGAACTGCAGCCTCGGGAGATCCAGAGAGATGAACAGGGCAGTCCGATGGAAGTAATAACACTACTGCTGGCACCATCCAAACATTAACTCTTGGCATAGTGTGCACTCCCACGACAGAATAGAATCCATGGCAGATGAATGGGGCCTATAGGGATGATATATGGATGTCATCACTCCTGGGAGGGAGATCCCTAATTTTATCATTCCTATTGAATTTCACCATTATTTAGTGGGAAAAGTTTGCTAAAACCCACTAAATACCTGTCCATGATGGGTGTCAGTAACACTCATTTAAGATTTTCATTCGTCAGAGAGAGAAAGCATAAGCAGAGGGAGCAGCAGGCAGAGGGAGAAGCAGACTCCCCACTGAGCAAGGAGCCCAATGTGGGACTCGATTCCAGAACCCTGGGATCATGATCTGAGCCGAAGGCAGACGCTTAACTGACTGAGCCACCCAGGAATCCCAGCATTCGTTTTATTAATGAAAATGACCACCAGCATAAATCTCAGTAACCAGGAACATTTAGTTGAGGAAACAGAAGCAGAAAGGTCATTAAACACAAGATTTGTACCCTGGCTTATGCTCTTAACTGCTGTATTATATTACTTCTCATCTGGGCTGAAGGATTAGGTCTGATATAATTAAACATATATCAACATTTTTGTGGCTTAGTTATTAATATAATTGAATACATATTTAATATACAAAATTAACAGCAAGCATTATAAGTGTTAAAAAATGTTAATTATACTTACTTCAGCAAAAGCTAAAAAGAGGATTTAGCTCCATGAACAATTCTGTTGATACTGAATAATTTTTTTACTTACAAAGACTCCAAGTTACTGACTACCAATTAATGCGGACATTCGTGGAGGCGCTTTATGCAATTACCTATGTCTGTTCATGGTGCAGACAAGGGCATCTGGGTCAAAGAAAAGATTATGGCTATAATTTCCAAAAGTTAATAAATAATGAAAATTAAGTTGATGAGCAACTTAATTAGAACCTTCACTTGGCATACATAATTATCGGTTAGTTTATTTTGAAAATGTTTTCAAATTTTTATTCGTATGTTAATTTATATTACTATTGAACGTTGAACATTTTTAAATATCACCCTTGACTATAGGTAACAGCTATCTCCTGCTTTTTTTTACAAACAAAATGGAAGATTTACAAATTTTCACTTAAAAGGCCACATTTCAAAAGGTTATCATGGAAGTACAGTTTCTCAGTACAATGTGATCATTAGAAATGAATAACAAAAAGATAACTAGAAAAACTTCCATGTGTTTTCAAGTTGAGAAACATTTATAAATAACATGGGCCAAATAAGAAATGATAATGGAAGTTAGAAATATTTAACACTAAATGATAATGAAAGTACCATATGTCTCAAAACTTGTAGGATATAAGTAAAACAGTACTTACTAGGAAAATTGTAGTCATTAATAAACTGGAAAGGAAGACAAGGAAAATTAATGAGCTAAGTATCCATCTCAAGAAATAGAGAATACTGAAGTGATCTGTAAATAATAGCAAAGTAAGTCTGAAGAAAGCAGAAGGAAGGAAATATAGTAACAAAGAGTAGAATTTCAATACAAATACTCAACAGAAAATTTTGTCTTTGAAAAGACAAATAAAAATGAAAAACACATATTAATGAAGAGAATCCCCAGGATACCTGGGTGGCTGTCAGTTGAGTGTTCTACTCTTGATTTCGGCTCAGGTCATGGTCTCGTGGTTGTGGGGAATCAAGTCCCACCTAGGGCTCTCAGTGCTGAATCTCCTTGTCCCTCCCCCTCTGCACCACTCCCCGCTCTCCTGCGCTCTCTCTCAATACATAAAATCTTAAAAAAAAAAAGAATCCCCAAGTAAACAATATTCAGAATGAAAAGGGAACATAACTTCAGATGCAAGAGGTAGAGATTTTAGCTTTCCAGAAGTAGTAAAGTAGGTGGTTTGGGCCAGCCCTTTAACAGACAATAATTAGAAAAGCTAGAAAAAATATAAAATATTTAATGTAAGATATAAAAAGCTTATGTTTGAAGAGACTGGAGAATTAAGGCAGTTAGTAAATTGCAGGGCCAAGATCTACAAAAGGAGGGAAGCCAGAAATGTGAGCCCACCATTTTAGCAACTGAATTAAGCAGTATGGTAGAAATGAAAAGTGTAGAAAATAAAATAATGTAAATCACTACATTAAGATACTGAAGGAAAAATATAGGGTAATTTCAGTAAATGTTGGAAAACCGTTTTATGCAATTGAAAATAATGAAAAAAAAAACCCCAGCAAATTTGAAGTAGAACCTCCTTAATCCAATAATAGGAATCTACCCCCCCCAAAAAGAAAAACAAAACAAATTCCACAGCAAACATTGTACTTAATGATGAAACGGTGAAGGTATTCTTGAAAATCAGGAATGAGAGGAGTGCCTGCTAATATTAACATTTCTATTTAACATTATACTGAAAGTCCTAGCTAGTGTAGTAACAAAGTATTAAAAAAAACAAAGCATTTGTTTGTACATGATATGATTATTGACAAAGAAAACCTAAAATAACCTATAGATAAAGTATTAAAATAGCAAGATTGATGGATAAATAATTTTAAAATCAATTGCATTTCTGTACACCAACAACAAACAGCAAATTTTTAAAAAGAACATTTACAAAAGCATTAAAAAAGCGTCAGATACCCAGGAATAAATCTAAGAAGATAGGCATGACCCATATGGAGAAAATCTCCATGGTAAATGGAAATACACCATGTAAAGAGATTGAAAGACTTTGTATTGTAATGATCTCAATTCTATGCAAACTTTTTTTTTTTTTTTAAGATTTTATTTATTTGAGAGAGAGACCAAAGGAGCACAAGTAGGGGAATGGGCAGAGGGAAGAAGAAGAGGGTCAGGGACAAAGAGACTCCCCACTGAGCAGGGAGTCTCAGTCTGGCTTGATCTCAGGGTCCTGGGATCACGACCTGAGCCAGAGTCAGACACTTAACCCACTAAGCCACCCAGGTGCTCTGTATGCAAACTCTTCTATAGATTTATTATAGTCTCAAAATCCGTAGCTGGATTTGTATGTGTGTGTACATAACTTGATTAAGTTGATTCGAAATGTATAAGGATATTTAAAGGTCCAAGAATTGCTAAGATACTCTTGCTAAGAAAATCTAAAATATGTGGGAAGGTAGACATGTTACTGATGGGATGATTCAGTATCGAATGATATAAATTCTCCCGAATTAATTTGTAAAGTCAGTGCATCCCAGTAAAAATACAAGATTTTTTAGTAGGACCTGACATGCCATATCTAAAATTCATTGGAAGACAAAGCATATTATTAGCACCCCCCCGCCGCCCCATTGAGAAAGCGTATTAGTCCTTCAAAAAAAAGTTCATAAAGCAATGTTCATCTTGTTTTGCATATGTGAAACCTTTTAGAAATTAAAATAGTATGGTGATGTTGCACAGAATAAGATATAGAATCTAAAAACATAACATATGATAAAGATCACATTTCAAACCAATGAGAAAAGTATAGGCTTTGATATTGGGACAAATGATACTCATTTTAAAAAGTTACAAATCAGGCCATGTACAAAAATAGATTGTATTAAAACAAAGCAATGACTATCAGTTTTATAAATCTCTTATAATGTTTAAGACTCTCCCAGAATCACCAATTCATTTACTTTGTTTGTTTTAGAGAGGGAGAGTGTAGAGGGTGGTGAGGGAGGGTCAGAGGGAGAGGGAGAGAGAGAATTTTAAGGAGACTCCATGCCCAGCACAGAGGAGCCTGCTCCTCCTGCTGCGGATTCAATTTCACAACCCTGAGATTATGACCTGAGCCGAAAACAAGAGTCGGACACTTAACTGACTGAGCCACCAGCACCTGTGATTCATTTACTTTTTTGCACAAAAAGGAGTAAAGTTCATTCTATGACTCTTGTGAGTAACAAAAAGAAATGGCTGTTTATTTATCTTCTAAAATTACAAATATTAATTTGAATATTTTAACTCATGCTGATCAACTAGCACAAAAATCCTTCAGATACTAAATTTTTGAAGTCCAGATATTTCAAAAATGGGTTTATGCAGAGCAGACACTGTTTAAAGGACAATTTCATGATTACTAAATATGGAAAATATTTCAATTTAGATTTTTTCCCTCTCCTACTTTATCTAAAAAGTTTGTTCTGAATAGAAACAAACTTTTGGCTATTTAAAATTCTATCCTGGGGCACCTGGCTGGCTCAGTTGGTAGAGCATGTGACTCTTGATCTTGGGGTTGTGAGTTCGAGCCACACATTGGGTATAGAGATTACTTAAAATTTTTTTTTTTTTAATTCTGTCTCATTTTCATCTTAGATGTACAAATTCCATTTGTTATTGGAACTATAAATTGGGAAGGCCTGCAGTTTCCAAGACTCAGGATTTCATTTGCTAGATCTGAATCTGAAAGATCAGTGCCCACAGAAAACTAAGACTTAAATAAAAGACAGTTGATTTTCAGAAATCAAAATGGGGCTTATAAAAGGTTTATAATAATATAACTTTGTAATAGGAAGGGGCTGAAACAAGAGACAATACTAAAAACTGTAAAGGAAAAGATTAAGTTTGATTATATCTAACTGGTTTGGTAGGATATATGCCAAACTTTTTTCAGTACATTTTAATAGATACTGATAAATATATAATTTTGTCATATATGACCTTTTTTTCCTAAGTTGCCTCATCTATGCATGTTATTTTTACAACCAGCTTTTCTCATTTAAAAACATGTTTTGTGGGCGCCTGGGTGGCTCAGTGGTTAAGCGACTGCCTTCGGCTCAGGTCATGATCCTGGAGTCCCGGGATCGAGTCCCGCATCGGGCTCCCTGCTCGGC